GAAAGGCTTGTTGGCCCATTGGGTTGACAAATGTCCTCCAAGTTGATCCCCTGGAGACTGCACTCCAGCTTCCACAGACGGGCGCGAGCAAATTGGCCCCATCCGGAACCTCGTTCAAGATGGTGTGAAGGCTTAACCTGACGACACGAATCCGAAGCTCCATAACCATGGAAATTAGAAAGCGCAGTCAAAGAGCAAGAAGCAACCGCTATGATCAAAGTCCATACATTCTCCGTACCGCACATCCATTTTGCAGCATCGGAAGCCCTGTTCCGACCTTAAAGCCCGGTGGCCACACAAACCAATTTCTTTATAGTCGCTATAGTATCATGCCATACCGAATATATATATATATTTGTATAATATATATATATATACATATTAATTTACATATTATATGAACTCCAAATAGGCGATCTAGTGGCCAGTACTGGGTTGCTTGGGCATCTCCCGAGAAAAGCTCAAAGAAGTCTATGCGCCCTTCCTCTGAGAAGCTTAGGTTCTGTTGCCAAAGCAGCAGCAAAACCTGAGCAAAGCGAATCTCCAACCCTGAGAGGATACCGGCAAAACAAAGAAGAGGCTCGGACCGTCGCAATCAGCACCTGAACACATGCCCCACCAAAAAACCTACAGCAACAACCGCTGTGAACCACACTGAACCCAGCCTTTGGGGCTTGAACTTGGAGTAGGCGAGTCACTAGGGAGCCCCCCATGGCAACAGTTACGATCAATCCGAACTCTCAGGCCCAACTAGCTGCGTATAGTGCAAACGCCGATCAGGCGCAAATCAAAAGTGAAGAACGGCCGGAAAGAAGGCAAACATTGAAGCAAACAGGCCCGGCTGGCCATCACTATCGCATTCATCTCCAGGATAAGTGAATGAAGGCATGGAAGCCAAAGAGCCTGCCAGCGTTTGAAGGGAAACGCCCCCCCCAGTAATCAAGAGCATGCGTGCGCAAGCAAGCAAGCAAGCTGCCGCATACTTTTGAAGCTCGAAAGCTAGGATCAGCAGCCGCAGAAGATTGTGACCAACCCAGCTTTGCTTGTTCAATCACGGTGGCCCTCGCCGGCGAGGACAAATTAAGCAGCTTTCATCAAAGCTGACTAAATCCCCATAAACTTGAGCTGCAATCCTTCAGCTCACACCCGAAAAGGAAAATGGCCGTGCTATCACTGTGTCATTTGGTAAGCCTCAGTTTCCAATTGTTACCAGGCTTCCCGTACACTAGTATATAGTGACGCCGGCCATGCATGGACAAACTTGAAAAATGTAGATGCCAAAACATGCGCGTAATACAGACTAGAAACAAGTCTTGCTCTTTTCCTTGCTTCTACCTCTCCATGGATCTCCAACTGCTTTCGGTACTCGGCGCCATATGCACAACACTTGCGGCTACGCTTTGCTGCTGCTTGCGCTGCTTCCTGTGTCTCATACTCTTTCTTCTTGCGGCCGTTGCGAGCTGCAACAGGCTGATCTTGACCTTCTGGGACGGCTGTTTTCTCTCCTGCGGTGTGTTCCTTCTCCTGTTCATGCTGCTTGTTTGTTCGCTTTCCTTTACCTTTCCTGGATTCATCCTTCGAAGCATCCTTCTCCTTGCCTTTGCGGACCTTTTCCTCTGCCGTTTCCTTCTCCTCCTTGCCTTTGCAAACCTTTTGGTTGTCCCGTCCATCCTTCCTTCCTTTGGATTTTGACTCCCGAGTACTATTCTCAGGCTCTTTTTTCCCGCCTTCTTGCTCCTTCTTTTCCTGCTTTTTGGCTCGACCCTTTGCCTTTGCCTTTGGCTCCTTGGGTTCTTTAGGCTTTCTACCTTTGCGCTTGGGTTTGCAATCTTCTCCACTGTCCTGTTCCTCCTCTTCCTTCTCCTCATCCTTCTTGTTCTTGTTTTTCTTTGCAGTCATTTTGTTTTGCTCGGTAGGATTGATGTGTGCTGTCCGCTTCATGACTTCAGCAGCTTTGGCCTGCAAGGGTTGCATACATACATGCACGCATGGCACACACGCGCGTATATTTACAGTATAATTAATATATGCATGGCATATTATAGCCAACTGCGATCCATGCTGTTCTCCAAAAACAACAAGCCTGCAGCTCTGAAATGCTGCCAGGACCGGGCTCAGCTGGACCGGCAGCAGCGCCCAGAGAAGGCATCCCCGCATCACTCGGGGGGGCTGGGTCAGGCAACTCACCCTCAGGCACGGGGTGGTCATGGTTGGGGTCATGCGCTTCAGGTTCCTTAAGAGCTTGAGGCTCGGATTCGGGGGTTTCCTCAGGCAACTTTGGAGCAAAGCCCGGTTCTCCACCATTCTCAAGTGGTCCTTTCTCAGCATCCTCGAGATGAATCACAATAGTGGTGGAAGAAACCTGCTGTTCATTTGGTCCCTGGAAGCTGGCATCATCCGGCTGGTCGGTTTCACCCAACACTAGAGTTTTTTGCGTCAACAGGGAGTGATCCGGATCAACCTCAACCTCAATCCTTTTTTTGTTCCGGTTGGGGAAAAGGCTTGATGTCCTCGGGCTGACTGAAGTGGTTTCCCCAAAGCTCATGCGTCGGCAGCGGCAAAGTCTCAGCAAAGTCCATACCTTGGGGACTAAATATATTTAGCATGAACATGCCAGCAAACAAGAGTTCATTTGCATTTGCATGTGCAAACAGGGGGCTTCCATTCTGAAGTATTTCATGCGTCTTCTTCTCCAAGTCCAAAAGCTCTTGTTGTTTTTCCATCAAAGACGTAAGATGCTGGTAGTCCTCTTCCAACTGCTTTAAGAGTTTCACTCGCAATTCCATCTCGTGCGGCTTGGGGATCTTCTCCGCGCTGGACGACGGAGGTTCATCACAACCTGACACATGTGAGCAGAAAAGTCTCCCCCACAATGGTCCCAGGGTCCATCAAGATTGCGCTGAAACTTCGAGTAAACAGCCGAGAAACCTTTCGGCGGAGGCGTTTGAAACGTCAAAGCACGCCGGGGGCCTGAGCCAATGGGAGGAGCATGGATGGATTTTGAAGCTGCATGTTATATGTTTATACACACTAGAGCTTAAGTACTATAGCAAAAAAAAGACTGGCCTTCCATCGGAACAGTTGCAGGCGAAGCGATCCCCTCCACAGAAGCCGCTGGAGCTTCACCAGGCGGAGGTAAGACAACGGGTTCCTGCAAATTTCCCAGAACCCTAAGAAAACAAACAGTCTGTGTAACACGCAACCTCTAAGTGATTTTAAGTGGACCTGTCAAACATGAAAAGAGAGATGCCGGTCCTCTATTTCTATAGGTTCATCAACTTCAAGTTCCTCTTCTTCTCCGGTTTCAAAAGACTCCTCACCCATTTCTTCCCCGGAGTCTTCCCCTGCAGTCGTAGCAGCCCCCACGGTTGAACTTCTAGAAGACGAGGCTCCATGCTCGGATCCTGGGGCTGAGCTCACGTGGCCATATGGAAGGGAGGTGCATACATACGCACAAGAAAACATCGAAGCAAACCTAAGAGTTCCAGTTAGTGCGAGAATCGCTCTGGAAATGGAACCCCTGCAGCGTCAAACAGAACCTTCGCTCCCCTGGAACGAGGACAGCACCCGCGCCCTGCCCAGCGCTTCCAAGAACTAATGAGCTTGCGGATGTACCAGGCAGTCCGCTTGATGGTTCCACCTTAGCATTGTTCACAGCTAGGATATGGGGCTTCACAACATGTTCCTAGGCACCAGTGCTCACACGTAGATTCGCATGCACACTTAGCCCACCACTGGTGGCAGCTTTCGAGTTGACGGGCCGACACGAATCATACATTCGCCGGACTGCATCTCGTGTCACGTCGATGGAAGGCTTCAAACCTGGGATGGTCATGGATGGTTTTTCAGGAAAAACCTGGAATGGTCATGGGCGGTCTTTCAAGATAAACTCAGCAAACCAACAAAAACAGAGTGCATCTATTCTCAAACAGCCTAGGTACCCAAGTGTTTCATCACTGGAGCTAGCACCGCAGCGTGAGCTTCAGCAGCCTCCTGTGAAACCCCCAACTCAGCGGTCATCAATTTGTATACAGCACTGCGTTGTACCAGGGCTTCGCTCTCCATCCACTCCCTCACAAGGGCCGTAAGATCCACTGGCATGGCGACAGTCTAAGCGAGAATCCAAAAAAAGAAAGATGGAACTGCCAATATTGCATGCGTGTTGGTTTCACATGCACCTGTTGTTTTGAGCACAGCTTGGCTGAGGTAGACCATGCATGGGCATTGTACATTTGCATGAGGTAGCGCTTGTCCTCTCACACAGCAGTTCCAAAAACAAGCACGCCTTCAGTGGCCAGAATGCCAGGAGAGCACCGATACCATGGCCACTGTGGTAGGATGAAGAAGCATTCAAAGACCCATCTAGCCACATACGGGTTTGGCGTATGATTAACCGACCCCCATGAAGAATTAGGTTGGAGGCCATCGCTATTAGGTTGGAAGCCATCGCTAGTAGGTTGGAGGCCAATTCAGTCAGGTCAATTGATTTGTTCCGCTTTGTAGGTGCAGGCCCATGGCCTTTGTTCTCTGACCGCGTGCCTTGCCACTACCAAGGCTTGGAACTAGAGCCACCTGGGCGCACACCTGGCACACATCAAGGGACCTGGCGGGACTCCAGGGAACTTAGGCGATGGGAAGGGCCCTTGTGTATACAAGAAAGACATGAACAGTCTCTAATTTCAAAAAGTGCTCCAAACCATCAAAGTCATCAAAAAGCGCTCATTTCATTGGAAAACGCTCAATTGGAGGTAAAGTGCTACCAAAGCACTGTTCGCCAAAAAAAAAAGTAACCAATGGATCTCCAGGAAGCTATATCACAATTATTTGCACAAAGGACAGTTGCATGCAGGACCCTCATGTCTCTCCCAGCCAGATTTGATTGTGTAATGCCGAGTCAAGCTAAGGCATTTTTGTGAGGCAGCTAGCTAAATTAAAGCGTTGCTTGTGATTGATTGATGCTTCTGTTGCGAAATGAGTGGCCCACAAGCTTTATCGCCGAGGGGAATGTGGAAGACTTGGCAAACGTCTTGCAGATCCTGCTGCGCAATCCAAACCAGGACCGCATTCTGCCCGCATTGTTGAAAAGGTCAGTGCAACCCCTGCTGTGCGCTTTGCACATGCTCCGAGGTGGCGTATTTCATTGATCCTTACACTTCGCCTTTGCGGAAATCCTTCATGTGACAGAAATGCATGTGAGCGCGTCGGACTTTGGAAGGAGGAACTTGCTGTTGATGCATGTGATTGTCTGTGTGTGTCTCAACTTGCTTTTAAGACCCCAAAGCTGTGTGTGGTGAAATGCCCAGAGACTGTTCTGTTCACTCTTCGGGTTGGGGATGTTGGGGTGGCATAGGGCGTGGGGGTGTGACCCACAGCAATGTGTGACTGTGTAGCTGTCGTGCATTAGTTTGTCCTCGCCTTGGCACCAGAGTCCCTTCCCCAAGTCCAGGGTCATCAATGGTATTTAATGTTATTTACATCCTGGAATGGGGTGGCATGCGCCATCCTACAGTCTACAGTGCGGTTTTGGAAGTAGCCGCGTAGACCCCAAAATCCAATGTGTACGACAGACAATATCACCTTGAATGCGAGTAAGTAATCACAGGTGTACAGCTTTGGATGGCTTGCGAAGCCTTGTGCCGGGTTCGCCCTTTGTTCCCCGACTTGAAATCAACGTTTTGTAACGAACTGGGTTCTGGCCTTTCTTGCGGTTTGGCGCCGACCAGACGTATGACCGCAGTTGATGGTGTGACTGTAGGGTTTTTTAACTTCTTGTTGTATGCCCTCCCATTCCCGTATGCTGCTTACTGTAGGCAGTACTGCGATGGATTGGGGTTGGACGTCAAAGAGGACGGGATTGCTGTTTGTCTCGCTATGCTTGTAGAAGCCGCCGTTTCCGCGCCAAGGGTTTTCTATGGTTTTCCTGTAGCGTGGCAAACTCCTGTTTTGTAAAATGGGACCCGGTGTTTGTCATTGAAGAAGTGAATGGATTACTGTACCAGGATGAAATCGTCACTTGGGAGCCTGACTGGAACAACTTCATGGAGTATGACCGGGAGTGGGTGCCAGAGCTCAGCCTGAGCCAAATAGCACATGTTTGAGGAGTTTCAGAGCTGGCTGTGGGGAGCTCATCGACCCAAGCATTACCAAGTGAGACGCCCAAAGAGAAAGCATTCATCCAAGTGAGTGTTGAATTTTGAGCGAGTTGTTATGACTGGCCACTGTCCGGCTGTTTGTTTGGCTGTATAAATATATGGTACTTTTTTCCAATTGGGCTCGGTCTTCACGTGTGACCGGACACTGGCAGGTGATGCGGCTGGTCACGGTGCGGAGACCGGCTTGAGAAAAAAGGGGAGCTGGTCGGAACACGCCGGGTATGAAGCATTTTGTGTGCCAGACACAGTCCAAAACAGAAAAGCAGCCGAAAGCAGAAACTGACTAAGGGGCATGCTGGCAGGAGTTTAGTTCCTTCTGACTTGGAGACTGTTAGTCAGCATTCAGCTGGATCTACAGAAAGAGGTTTAAAGAACCACCGACACCATCCCAGACCCGTGGACCAAAGCGGGTCAGCACCCCGTCGTCGCGCGGCGCCGAGGCCACCCAGTCCAAGGAGCTCCGGGCACTGGAAGGCGCACTGCGCCTCGAGGAGCACGGTTTTGAGAGCTAGCTGGGATGTATTGATCGATATATTTAATAATTACTGTATATAGTAATTGCTATTCCCGGTTATATCTTGTTTGCATACATATATGCGTATAATGTATATTATATGTATATGTCCATCACTCTAATTCAATATTATCCAAACTTGGATGGATGCTCAAACTGATCACGGGGGAATATAGCTTTAGCGGTGGAAACCGACCAGACGTGTCAAGCCTTTCAGAGGTGATGAATGGCGCTCAATGGCCAGGATATAGATTCGGTTTGATATGTGTGCATGGCTGGAGGCTGGAGGAGCAACAAAAACACATGTAAAAGCAACCGATTGCTCAAGACCCACAATGTCCATCGTCCCATGTTACTTGTTTCGGTCCTTTGCTGATGTATTCATCCTAAGTTCTGCGTGAATGGGGCAGCAGAGCATTGTTTCTTTGGATGGTTGTGTCAAGCCAACTGAGGAGTTTGCCCAATGGGTTGTACTGTATGGTGTAATCAGCGGACAGGAGCATGCTGCCCCCAGAAGTTTTAGGTAGATGACCCCCATAGGACTCTTAAAGGACTAAGCGACCTATTGTTCATTGCCTTTGCTGTTTATGTGCTACTCCTGTTCTTGGTTGGTATTGGGGTCCATCCTGACACCATGAGTCACAGCCAACTGGTCCACTGCCATTGCAGTGGTGCATGCGTATATATAGACGTTTTCTTTGGAATCAATTTGATGTACTCGTATGGAGTTTTGATACTATGGAATGAGTGAGATGAACTCCAAGTTTAGTTACTGTAGTTTACTTGTGGAGTTTTGCAACCCCCCCTTTTATCTAATTTATAGAAGTACAATACTTTGCCCAAACTACCGTGTTGATGGGCCTGATGTTCCATCACCGGCACTGCGGCCACAAGCAACACCTGGCCACTCGCGTCGGTTATCGGCGCCTTTTGAGCCTCAGGAGTTCCAGCAACTGGATGCGCGGCAGTGTGCGGAGGCATTGCTCAAGCGTCACTTGGATGAGCACATGGCCGTTGATGGAAACTATTTAGTACCGGGGTTTTCAGAGATCCTGGAGCGGCGATATCTCCTGAGTCCAGAGCTTGGGAGGATTCTAGCTTGATTGGTGCTTCATGTTTGTTTGTTTTTTTCAATCTGTCCTTCCAGGCTAGAACCGCTTTGGATAGCTGCAGTTAAAAAGACAACTGTCCGTACTAAATGCATCCGGATGCAAAGAGCAGTTGCCCGCTGCGACTTGAGGGAGAATGGACGTGCCTTTATTTAAGGCCAGGAACAGCAGCGAGAAGCAGCTGCTCGCTGCTTGGAGCAGGTGGGGTGGGGATGATGGTTTTAGTTTTGTGCGCTTTTGGAGGCGACTGCAAGCTGGCGGAAGCGGGTAGTCACTGAAACGCGAAGATCATGTCCTGCACTAGCTGACCAGATGTGAGCCTTTGTGGAGCAGGCCAAAGCATCCGCCTGCTTGGTACGAGCCCGCTTGCACCAGGCGAGCCGGGCGGGGGACTGAATCCGGGGATCGGACGGAGCTTCATCCGAAAAGGGTGCCAAGTGGCACACTGGGCCAAAAGCGTGCAAACAGGCGTCGAAAAGATTCGAAAAGTGCTAAAACATGTTTGATCATGGCTAGGTAGTCTTGTCATTAATGACCGGCCACCGGCTCTCATTCCCTCGGGGCAGGAGCTTCAGACAGCACGACTAGCGGCAGCTGAGGAGCTGAGCAGTGAGTTGACCATGGGTTTGGGAACGCATGGGACATCTATGCTGGCCGTTCGCCAAGGTTCGCCCATTTGCTTGGAAGGGTGTTGACGGATGGACTAGATATGCAACATGTAGACCAGCTTTTGAAGTGTGTATGTGTGTGGTATTGTGTGGGTATGCATTCTCTCTCTCTCTCTCTATGATAGATGGGGAGACAGAGCCTGTAACTTGCTTGGGCCCTTGTGTCTTGGGTCAATACGTCCGTGATGGCCTTTTCAGCTTCGGTATGTTTGAGGGTCGAGGGTCCTGCAATTGAGAGCCAAATCAAGGCTCTCAAAACTCAGAGAATTGACAAGCCGAGCACGAGGATAACCCTGAATAGTGTTTTCCCTTTGACCACCTTCCTGAGCCTTAAGGATAGTTTTTGAATATTGATGTTGGCCCAAGCCACCAACAACAAATAGCTATATTTGCAGTTTGAATGGCAGTTGCAGGATCTCTACAAAGCCGCGAGCCAAAGCATTGACCAGATTGACCTTATCGCAGATGCAGCGGCCTCGAGATTGCTACAGCGGGACAGCGGGAGCTTCTGTGAGGTAGTAATGTGGCTTGCATCTTGAGCTGAATGTAATGCGGTGCAACATCTCGGCTGATATTTGTTGTTTGAGCCATGGTTGGCACAGAATTTGTTGCACGTTTTGCGGGCCCGTTGGTCAAGACATGTCAAGACGACCCGAATGATGTCATCTCTTCGTCAAGAGCGCCGAAGGGAGGAAGTTGGAAGCGACATGAGACCACACAGTATCGGACACTACACCGATTGCTTAGGCCGGCGTCCCGGTGAAGGCACCTCTTTGTGGCATCGGAGGCCTTAAGTCAAGGATGTCCACCGAGCTGTTTTGAGGCCAATTGTTTGGAAATTCTAGCAGGTTTGATCTTCCTGGTAGTTGCTAGAAGATCTGCATCAATTTGTAATGCTTAGGTTGAAACGAGTTGAAATATGTTGAAATTCAATTTAATGCAGGTGTGATGACACACGCTGTGAGTCATGTTTTCCGTTTGTGCACCATACCTTCCGCTCCGAGAGGGCGGGCTCGAATGCTGAAAAGCTTGGCCGCGGCGCGACGTCCCGACGTCCTTTGTGCTTCGAACTCGTTCGAACGTCTTTTGCTCGGTTCCGACTTCGTGAGCGTGAACCACTCCAGCTACATTGGTAGCGGAGCCCGGGGCGACCCGGGCTCCCCGCGCACTTCGCTACGACGCCATCCTCGCTCGGGATAAGCCCTTCGTCAAGGTCGGTCAAAGGAGCTCTATTTTCCTGTGTTTGTTTGTGCTGGCTTCTTCTCATCGCCTACCACATCACCCCTGGCTACCAGCACAACAAAGTGGAGCACTTTGAACCAATGCCACCACCTGGAAAGAAGACGACGACGCAGGCTTCCAGCTCAGATGGCAAAGAGAGTTCCGGCTTCCTGGACTTGAGGGACAGCTTCGTCCCCACTTTCAGTGGACAACCCGCTGATTACCGTGAATGGCGCCAACGACTACACCTATACCAGAGGAAGATGGCCATCACGAAGCGGGGTCATGAAGCCGTGCTCAACCTGGTCGGTTCTTTCACCGGCGTGACTTGGCGCCTCTTCCAGGACTGGACCATCGAGGAGCTTGAGAAAGAGGACGCATTTGAGCGCATTGTGAAGACCCTTGATGCCAATTTCTCCTACGACGCTCGCGTCCAGCTCCCGAATGACTTTGAGGGCTACTTCAACCTGTTGCAAAGAC